TCTCTCCGTCTCTCTTCCTCTCTTCTCTCTCCCTCTCTCTCTCTACTCCTCATTCTCTCTCTCTCTACCCCTCATTTTCTCTCACTCTCTCTCTTCCCCACCCCCCCATTCTCTGTCCCTCTCTCACTCATTTTCTCCTTCCCCCTCATTCTCTCTCTCTCGCTTTCTCTGTCTCTGACTCTGATTCTCCCTGTCTCTCTATATCACATCCATTCTCTCTTTGCTTCTTCCTCCATACCTGACCCCATTTGCATTGAGGGCCCGATGTCACCACAGACGAGCCACGCCCTTGTTTGCCTGTTGTGGCCTGTGGCTGCCCTTCAGACCATCCGATGTTCCATCACGAACTGGAAAAAGTCCAAACGCAAATGAAAATGGCATCCAAATGGGCCATGGTTAATGCCCAACAAAGCGACAGCCTATACCCTGCAGTCGGCCATGGGCATTCTGGCTTCTTTCAGGTCACAGATGTCTCTTGAAGGATTCTCATTTTGCTGCTGCTTCTAGAGTGAAGGAAAAGGCTCTGAGTTTCGCTAAAAGAGACAAAGATAGGCCCTGGTGACAGCCCCCACCCTCCTTTCCAAATACTTCCGAGGGGAAGACCTCAGCCCAGGTCTTCAGTGTGAACCTTGATCCCATTCTGTGTCTTTCCACTTCGCTTATTGTCCCTTTCGGGCCTGCAGTGGTTCCCAGTGGGAGTCCCAAGTGACGCATTCTGTGCAGCTGCAGTGATGTCCAACCCAGGGAAGGAGCTGGCCAGCTTGGGGCAAATTTAAATGATCAGGGATCACATCTGGTGCCCTGAAGTGGAGAATTGGCGTCTCTGCTCCCCCCCCCCCCCCCAATCCCCCCCCCCCACCCCCCCCCCCCCCCAACCCCTGCCCGGCTCCTCTCCTCTCCTGTGTACTCCCCGTAAGCTGGGAAAGTTAGATTGAAGTATTAACTCCTGGTAACTTGCAAAGCTGCTTGGAGCAAAATTGGCAGCGAAGCTTAAACAATCTAACGTCTCTATGGCAACCGTGAACATTAAACTAAAGAGACAGGGAATCAGTATGTGTACCTGCTGAGTGCATCAGTGCTATTCCATAAACCACTCCAATCAAAAGCGTTCTTAAAGTCGGGTTGATAGATTTTCATTGAGCAAAGACCACAATGCAGACCCTGTGAGACTGACTGATGTTAAACGCAATGGGAGGTGGCCACATACCCCTCCTTTATGCAGAATGGTGCTGCGATCTATGAGTGCAGCTCATTCTATTTCTCTAGTGATTCAGTGGACAGCTGTGCTATTGATGGCAGCACTGAGCTGTTCTGAGCAGGAAGATGCTTTGCTCCAGCAGTACAGGGGAGGCACGGTGGCTCAGTGGTTAGCGCTGCTGCCACACAGTGCCAAGGACCTGGGTTCGATTCCACCCTCAGGTACATATCTGTGTGGAGTTCTCCCCATGTCTGCGTGGGTTTCCTCTGGTTTCCTCCCACAGTCCAAACATATGCAGGCTAGGTGGATTGGCCATGCTAACTTGCCCGTAGTGTTCAAGGTTGTGCAGGCTGGGTGGGTTAGCCATGAGGAAATGTGGGGTTACGGGGATAGGGTTGGCGGAGGTGGGGATATCAGATGCTCATGGAAGTGTCAGTGTAGACTTAATGGGCCGAATGGCCTCTACCTGCACTGTAAGGATTCTATGATTCCACAAATGGTCCTTCAGCTAACAGTATAGTTAGGTTTGCTGACCCAGGGAGCTAGGGGCTATCAATGTACATGGGCTTGCATTAACAGTAGGTGTCAGAGGAACTGGGGCAAATCCATCCTGCTATACAGTGGTGGGCCTATTACAGTGCAGTGCTGCCGGTGGGCCTTACGAAAAGGAGAGAGCATTTTCCCAAGGTCAAGGCCATTGTCATTCCTGTGCCTATACAGGTGTACTTTCCCAAATGGGATCACCAGCTGGAGCTCGAGTTGATTCCACTTCCTAACAAAAACCCTTGCGTGCCTATGGATGTTGTGTATGTCGAGGTTGTCGCAGTTGGGATGGCCTGAATGTTGTTTGGAGTCCATTGGGGATGATCCAGTTCTGTAGGCAGGTACAATTTTCTGAAGAAGGGTCCGGACCCGAAATGTCAACTTTCCTGCTCCTCTGATGCTGCCTGGCCTGCTGCGTTCCTCCAGCTCCACATCTCTGACTCCAGCATCTGTAATTCCTGCTACCTTTGCATGTCTATCATTGCTTCAAAATGTCCCAGGGCACTTTCTAACCCAATACGCTATGTTTTTGAAGGCGTTATTATAGCAGATTTCTCGGTGCTGGCTTGTGCACAGCAAGATCCAATGACCAGCAACGAGCAGCTAATCTCTCCCAAGGACCTTAGCTGTAGGATAGAAATTGAATCGAGCACTAGGGGGAGCTCTTTTTATAACATGCCCGCTTTCCAGCCAATCACAAGGGCAGGCAGGGTTTTAACATTGCACTCTCTGAGTAATGCACTGGAGTGTCATAGAATCCCTACAGTCCATTCAGCCCATCAAGTCCACATGACCCTCCAAAGAGCATCCCACCTAGCCCCCTACATTTCCCATGGCCAATCCACCTAACCTGCACAATGTTGGACTGTGGGAGGAAACCCACACAGACACAGGGAGAATGTGCAAACTTCACACAGACAGTCGCCCAAGGGTGGAATCGAACCCGGGTCCCTGGCACTGTGAGACAGCAGCGCTAACCACTGTGACAGCGTACAATATGTGCTGAAGCCTCTTGAATGGAATATAAAGCTGTTACATTCTGTAGGCAAGAGTGGGAGTTGCGCACTGAGGCTTGGCTGGTCCCCTCGCTACAGCAGGACCATTGATGTTCAGTGCAGCCCCAGGTCAGACCTACGGACCTAACATCACTAGGGAATCTCTCCAGAGAGACCAAGTTATTGGAGACATTTTCCATCTTTTTGGGGAAGCACGTTCTGCCCTGAAGCACCCATGATGGCCCAGAATGTGAACCCTTTCAGAATGCAGCTCCCTCGTTTGGGAGAATTGGATCACAGAATGCTGCCACAGCTCCACTCCTTCGTTGCGAGAAGAAAATCACTTTGTTTCTTCCGTCTGATATTTCATTCGGGCGTGGGCTCCAGCAATCTGACAGTATTCCCTCTGGAAGAGAAAATACCAACAGGTTTCTCCGCTGTGGGGAAATATCAGGGCTGATTCCATCCCTGACCCCACACTTTCCTGCCACAGCACCTGGATCAGGAATGGAAACTGAGTCCTGCATTGCGCTCCATCGGGCACAGAACAGGTTGGCGCATCCTTTGGCCACAGCAGGCGCTACATAAATGCAGGTCTCTTTCATTCAGTTATGCTGTACTCTTCCTTCCGAGCTAAGCCAGCAGAGCACAGACTCAGAGTTCAAAACTAGAGGTCGTAGGTTTCTGGTGATAGGGGAATGATTTAAAAGGCACTTGAGGGGCAGCTTGTTCACACAGAGGGTGGTGGGTGTGTGCAATGACCTGCCAGAGGAAGTGGTAGATGCAGGTACAGTTACAACATTCAAAAGACATTTGGACAGATACACAAATAGGAAAGGTTTAGAGGGATATGGGGCTAGTTTAGTTTATGATTATGGTCGGCACAGACAAGTTAGACCAAAGGGTCTGTGCTCTGTGAATCTATAACTCCATTTGCTTCAAGTTTAGTTGGGCTCTGTCTTATCCAGTATGCCCCAGCCCCAAGCACAGGAATTTGGTTTTGGGAGAAGCTCCCATTATAACACAGATTGATAAATAAATGGGATGTGTTGTAAAGACTGCTTTCATTCTGGTTCAGGCTTTCAGCAGCGGCAGAGAGTGAGCCTGCCATTGGGAGCAGCTGGATAGCTGTTTGTGAAAGCATTAAGTGTTT